GTGCAGATAGCCCATTGTGTAGCTTTGTGCTTAATTACAAACAAAGCTCTACGTTGAAATTTCTACAAAATGAACATTACAACTAGACTTTCTTAGTTAAATTTGTATGCAAAATTGACTTATTTAGCGAAAGGTCCAGACGTAGTCTTGGGGTAGCTTTCCAGGCTGCGGATTTAAAATCGATCCAGTGGTCGCACTGCGATTCCTCTTAACACATGCTGTACCTCTAGCAGGGGGTATCTTGAAATGGCGATTGCTGCTGACTGGTAGTTCAAAATTAGGACCGACCTTGCTCAAACATCTGGTCTTCTGATCTGACACTTCAGCCTATAGGGTTCAGGTTCAAAATATTAATTACTAAAATGTTCAACAAAACAGTGTGAGCTTTTATAAACGAGGCAATTGTTTCTAACTGCTTTCTCTGTTCATCAAAATATTTTAAAATACATTATTTCAATCTCTACAACAAATTTAAATGACAGTTTGAAATTTCTATGATTAAATATGTTTGTTAAACAACGGACAGGCTGACTTTAATTAACCTTTAAGTGGTTTGTCAGATGTTTCAGTTACAAGTTCTTCAGTACATGATTTCAGTTCAAATATTACTATGGAAGAGACTTTCAGATCTGACCAGTTGATTTTTTACAAGGTTCGTTTAGAAAAAGCTTTTTATTTATTGTGGTTTATAAAAGTTAAACAAAGAATCAACAAAATTTGCGTTACAAGTTCATAATTTGAGGAGAAGATGATAACCAGAATTTTGCTGATTGAGAGCTGGTTTCATTTTATCCTCAACTGAAGATTCATAAGGGTTTGGTGGTTAATTGTTATACAACAATATTCTGCTTATTCACTCAAAGTGGAAGCTTGAATTTAAATCTATTAAGGCTAATTTAATGACATTATTTTTATTCATTCTTTATTTATAGTGTAGACAAAGAAGTAAACTAACAAAGAGCAGTGAACGTTGTAACCATGACTTGTCTGCCGGTGAAAATCGCTAACACCTGTCTGCAGATATAGACTGTTAACAAATAGTACTGATCGTTGTAGCCATGGTTTATCTGGAGATGTATATCATTAACAAATAGTACCGAACGCTATAACTATGGACTGTCTGCAGATGTATATCATTAACAAATAGTACCGAACGCTATAACTATGGACTGTCTGCAGATGTATATCATTAACAAATAGTACCGA